ACTCGAGTAAAAGGTGAAGCTGATGTACTTTTAACTGAACCTTTCTTCTTTCCTGCTACAATAGATCTATAACCCAAAGCTAGCTCATTGCTTAGATCAGCTTTCTTACCATCGGATCCGTATCGCAGTCAATTGCTGAAGTTTATACAAAGTACATCCTTAAATACAACATACTGCATTGAGCTGTGTTTATTTTATATAAAAGTAGACTTTTTTAAGGTTGTAACCTTAAACGGCAGGTGATTCAGGAAATGCAAGTTAATTGATGCAGTACCCTCATTAGAAAGCATATTAGAGAAAAGCAAAAATAACAAGCCTTAGTTTGGTTGCAATATAATGCTCACGTTTTTTCCATCTATGCTATGATAACAAGACTTTGGTAACAAGAAAAATCTGATGCTGAAAAATGTTCATATAGTCCAGTGATAACAAATGTCACATGCAAGAACTTAAACACAGGCATTTTATCTTGTGTTTCAGTGCAGTTACTTTTTTTTTTAAGCGTAATTAGCAATAGACTGTTAGCAGTGTTGTTTTGAGTGGGGAAAATTTGGTGAGATGAATGACACTTTCTTGTACAAAATAATTTACACAGAAGTCTATTTGATGTTAATTTCCACAGTGTTTCCAGATAGCTCCTTCTTGTTCTTATAGTATTTAAGCTCAACTGTCGTCTGCTCTGATGGGGAAGAAGTGCCATAGGGAAATGCTGAGGAGGAAAGACAGGCTGGAACACAGAAGTCCCTACACCACTTCTGGAGATCACTTAGGAATTTGTCCTTAATTTTGCTGTTATTTTAGACATTAATAGCTGTAGCACAGCATGCAGTGGCCAAATCTTCTCACCCAGGTAATGACTAGCATGCTTATTTCATAGTGGGTTGGCAGTGTCTGTCCCTGTACGCACTGTTCCTCACTCTCATAATGCTTCTAGGTCAAGGCTATCTGTTCTGACCCTCTAGTAACTCAATATTTTTATTAAATGTCAGTTGTCTGCTGTTCAGTTTTGGTCATTATGTCAGCTCCATCACTGAGCTCTCTTTACCTGGAGAGCTAGCTCTAGAGAACTTGCTGAAACCTGGAAGTTCTTTACTGCCTTTGCAGTTCCTTTTCTGGTTTGTAGGATTACTTGCGCTCATGGAGAAGCTTCATGTGTTGAAATGAACAATTCCTTGTTGTTTGAGGTTAAGAACTTTAACTAGATAGTTAATTATCTTTAGAAGTCAAGATCCCATGTTTACCTCTACTTGACAGCAGAGAGAAATTTTCAACAAAATGTTACGTTTGGGAAATCCACAGGGAACAATTCAGATAAGTTCCAGTACTCAAATTAACTGAAAAGGTTGCTAGCTTAGTATAAACAGTATGCTTACAGAATGATTTATTGTAACCACATGATGAAAATAAAGGCATCTGTTTCTCTAAATGTAATCTGTTGATGAAACAAAATAAGGCACTGCAAGTGCTTTCATGACCAGCTGAGTTGCGCATTTAAGGAAGCAGGTGGTGGTGGTGTGGCCAACAGTCTTGCTGGGGCCAAAAGTGAGTGAAGTATGATTGTTTGATATAGTCAAACACTAAGCAAAATGTATATAGATCTTGGGGGTGGGCAGGGACACACACTGATGTAAGTTTTGTTTCTTTAATCTCTTGAGAACTGTCCTTTAGTGCTGACCCAATTTCAGTTTAGGTCCCATCCAGCTTAAGCGATACCTATTGTGCAACTCATAAATATGGGAAGTGATCTACCAGCGTCTTGTGAGATGATGCCTTTAGCTCATACAAACTTAGATTCTCCATCACAGAGCTGGATGAAGTAATGTGATAGTGTGTCTCAACTTGAAGTTCATGTTCTCTTCTCTTGTTGAAGCCATTAGTAAAACTTGCACAGGCTTATTAAGACTTCAGCTGTAATTTTTCAAAGTTAAGATTATGGTAAGCAGTCTTGAAAATTTCACCTGACATAGTTTAGCATTTTTAGATTTCTTCTAAATGTGTTTCAGAAAAAGGTGGGATAACTGGTATTTTTGTCTGAAACCTTCTGTTGACTTTTGTTCTGGTTCACTGGTACATGCCAAGGAAAGGGTCAAAATTGCAATTAGAAGAAACACCAGTGTGTCAGTAAACTTAAATCAGCTGAGTAATGGGTACGTCCTTGGGTTTCGTCATCTCCTGTTTTGGGGAACTCCAAAATAACAACAGGAAAACAGACAATTTTTTCCCCTTCATATGAACTGGTCATATCTAGTTATTAATATTTGCATTGAATATTTTCTCTTAAGGCTTGTTGATGTGGTCCACTCTGTAAAGTTGATGAGTTAATGTTTATGCTTGTGATCTAGTAAACACTGCCTAGCATTCAGATACTAACACTTCTGCCTTCTGACACAGAAATAACCCTGACAGAATCAGTATTTACACTTACCAACTCTGGTGCTTTTAAATACAAGAGCTGTAGAACAGTTAAAGGAAAACTCTAAAGAAAGCTTTTTACCATTGCCAAAACATTGTTTTTGGCAATGGTAAATGACAAAATTTAACGGAAATTGTAAAATGAGTGCTGTTATACATTGCATCTCAATGAACACAGAATAGGCAGGAGTTTTAGCTGTGTTAGCCAGCTACTGTTGAAAGGCAGTCTGATTTGGTGCCCCAGTTCCTCTACTGTAAATTCATGCAGCTCATGAAGACACAATGATGTAGTTTAACAAGACATAACCATGCCATCTTTATCTAGCTAATGCTAACAATTTTAATACTGAGGACATGATGATACGGACTTCTCCATGTAACGTATGAATTCCAAGTACATCTTGTCATTAAGTGCTTACTATAATTTATGATACGTGCCAGCTATAATAAAGCTAGCGTGATCATTTCTGCCCATGCTATAAATGCACTTACTTTCTGTGAAAGAAATACAGAAAATTAGATGACTGCTTTCCTAATAGACTTCAAAACTACCTTGAAATGTTCTTTGTAATACTGTCTTTTTCAGTCTTAGGAAATTAAAGAATGCATAAAAGTTCCTGAAGAACTGTAATGAGTTGACACAATGTTTTTTCTTGTCTTGTAGTACATCTAACATACTATAAAAAAAACCCCAACCCACCACCTTAACGTCTGATTTTGTATGAGAATGTTGTATTTAGCTATATATGCTGCAGTCACCTTTTAGAGCTAACAAACTGCTTCATTAGTAGCAAACCTATGCTGTAGAAATTTCAGTGGAAGGATTTAATAAACATTAGGAAAAGAATTATTTCTAAACAAAATAATGCAACATTTTGGTATTTTGCTATGGTCTCTTGTGAATTGCAATAGCTAATGGTTCAGGGCTATCTCATAGTCACAGTAATTAGTGGTGGCTAAATGTGTCTTAGGATCCTTTTAAACTTACGGAGCAGTATTGCAATACTTAACACTTGTCCTAAATCTTTTTTTAGTAACTGTCTATCCAGTCCAACTTCATACTACCAGATACAGCCACGAGGAGGAACATGACATTTCAGTGTAGACTTACGCAAGCCGGTTTCATAATTTATTAAAATTTTTCATAGTTAATTACCAAC